AAACCCTGCACACGCCTATGACTTTGCATCTCTGAGCATGCACCCTCAATAGTTCTCAGTTAAAAAAGGGGGATTTTATTGTGGAAGCTTTGTGTAAAACAAAGTTGTGAAATATAGACCTAATGTTGCATGCCGTAGTCATACATTGGGTGCCATTGGAAACGTGAAAGGAGGTTATTCTGCAATATTGCCTTAGAGAAGCTGACTCAGCTGATTTCTCTGTTCATGATAGCTGGCTTCTCTCCAATTACTGATCAATGGGCAGCCTTCTGAACTGATGTATAGTGGTTAGTTTTTTTTTCAATGCAGCATGTAGTCAAGGCTATGTGGTTTGACCGTAAATCCGGAGGGATTATTTAATATAACTGATAAATGTGTATCACTATTTAAAAAGGCATAACTCATCAATTGTAGTTTCTATTCATGTGCAGCGCTAAAATTTATGCTTCAGTGCCTTCTAACTTTTTATGTTCTCTCTTGCAGGTTTAAATACAACAGCGGTGTCACCACGACGGTGCTACAAAAGACCCTATCATCAGTGCAAAGTCGAAAATTAAATACAAATGCAGTTATTCCTGGAAATGTCTCATTTGGTGTTTCTTTGTTTGTTTGTACTTATAAAACAGGATGTTTGCAAGAATTGTAAACAAGGACGAACTAGCTCCATTTATTGTCCTATACGAACTGAATTGCTTGACAATGTAATGCGTGTTTCCGAATGCAGGCATTATATACTTGCAGCATTATTTATCGGCTTTGAAAGATTCTGACGTGTAGAAAAGTATGATCTGTTCGTTGGTGGAAGTGGTCTGATGGTATTTCCTTTATAATCCCGTAATTTGTGCACACTTTTATATTAATAATGAAGCGATTGATTCATCTGCTTTTCAGCAAATGTTCTGTTGATGGCATAGGACCTTAGTCTACAACACGACGTTTGATGTCAACCTAATAATGCATATGTTCGATAGCACTTCACTAGACAACGACCATAAGAAACTCAGATGTCAGGACTCTATAGACTAACGCTAGCCAATGGTCATCAAAAACTCTCATGCCGGGCCTCTATAGACTTACGCTAGACTATAGTCATAAGAAACTCTCATGTCATAACTCTATAGACTAACGGTGGCCAATTACTACTAGACTCACATTAGGTACGCATTAGGAAAGAGCATTAGACTGACATTAGACAGTTTAAAAATTGTGATGTCGAATGACATTACCCTGTTTATAAAAGTACATTACATTTTTTCATAAGGGGACGGAGAACGACGCAAGTCAGAAACTGACGCATTGGAAAGGCGATGGTCACTACGGTAGCTTGTTCCAATCAATTCGCTCGCGACAACTTAATTCTCCTCGGGGAGTACAGCATCAGATAGCGTGTGAACATTATTATCAATATTTGAGCTTCTCTAAGCACGAAGTACAGTTTATTTTATATAATGATTGATTGATTTGTGGGGTTTAACGTCCCAAAACCACTATATGATTATGAGAGACGCCGTAGTGGAGGGCTCCGGAAATTTCGACCACCTGGGGTTCTTTAACGTGCACCCAAATCTGAGCACACGGGCCTCGACATTTTTATTTTATATAAGTAAACGCTTTAGGAAATTTGTTGCGTTACGTCTGTGAGTAAATTTTTCGCATAAGCTCGTTTTCTGCGCAAGTCGTAGTGCTACCTATTATCAAATTAGGCTGCTGTAGTATATCCTTTCTCCCGAACGTTGTCGACTTCGCTTGTGTATATATATACGCACACAAACGCGCACGCGAAGGATATGTTGGGTAAGTACAATGGCAATCACAGTACAAAAGCTTGCAATCCGAGCAAATTGGACACAATCGAAAATGATGTCAATGGCAGCTCACCACCGCTCGTGAGCAGAACTCCTTGAACCATTTCCTTTTCTGCGTGATGCCCCTCTGCAAGTGGCTGATTTGGAAGAGTTGCCTCTTTGATGGGGCAAGATACGGGGCCGTAGGTTGTTAGAACACGTATGTGATGGATGGGACCAGCTTTTACGCTTTTCCGGTAAGCGTAAAGCCCTATTAGGTGCAGGTTATCACAATGAGGCGAAAGGAGTGGGGTCATTCCATGCCAAATGTCCCAGCCATTTTGGTGACCATCTCAAACACACTTGAAAAAAAAAAACAAAAACGTGCTGATTTACTGCATGGAAAAGAGTAAAGCAGTAAAATATTTCCTTGAGGAAAACGTTCTTGGTTTCATGGCTGCCTTACAAACTTCCTGGAAGATCACTTAGGGGTTGTTTGTGGAAGATTTTATTATATAAGTACCGCTTCATTTTTCTATAAAAATTGGTTTACATGTTAAGTAAAAGTTCTTGTGTAAGATTTTGGAAGCTCAGTAACCTTAGTGCAAGTTTACTGGCACATACACCTTCAAAAAATTGCCAAATTGGGATATGTTTCCAATTTTCACACTACAGTACTGCGCTTTGTATAAATGTCTGAGTAATGAATAATTACTCCACAAAAGACATATTTTGAACAAAAATGCTTTTAGACCTCTCAATTTTCTAAACTTTACAATAAAAATTCACAAACTTCGAAAAAGTGTTATTTTTTCCATACTGAGACGCAATTCCTAATAATGTGGTGGTACTAATGAGGAATAAACGTCTGGGAATATCGTTTTTGGGTAGGTACACGTTCTTTTCAATGATTTGAACTTATTGATATGCATATAATGGAACGCCGAGGTACTTTGGTGGAACACAAGAACATTCTATACCCTGAAAATGGGTTGGTTTATATGTACATGGGCCAAACCACAGTTCCAAGCTTTTAGCAAAGTTCATTCATGCCTCTGAAAATTTTCGGAATTCTCCGGTTGTTGACACCACTATTTTTATACTAGAAAGAACTGTGAAAAAAAAAAACGCTAGGTCATCCGCATGCGCCAATACCTTCAATTCATTCCCATAAGCACTGAAACCGTTGACGTTACTAGATCGATTTACACTTAAGCACAGTGGCTCCAAGTAAAGAGCAAAAAGCATTGGTGACAACGGACAGCCCTGTTTCACAGACGAGTTAAGAAACACAGGTTTTGTAAGATAGCCATTAACAATTAAACGGGTTGAACATTCATTGTAGCATAGTTTTACACCTTTAAATCATAATGGAGCCAACGTTGCTATGTTCGAGAAGAGAAAACAGAAAAGAATGGCGAACCCGATCAAAGACTTTCGCCAAGTCTACTTGTAGTATTGCCAGTTGTTCATATGAGTGTGAAAAATGTTCCAATACTGTGCGAGCACTGGGTATATTAGTTCGTATTGAGCGACCTTTAAAGCGCACGTCTGATGGGCACCAATGAGTATTGACATTTTGTAATGAACGTTGCATACTGTAATTGGTCTTTAGCCATCAACGTGACGAAGTTTTTCTCTATCTGAGCATTTTGGAATTAGGACAGTGTGACTTTTAGTAAAAAAAGCGAGAAAGCGTTTCCAGATTCAAACTCAGCGTGAAAATGTCGAGCAGTACAGGGCACAGTATGGATTCCAATGCTCTGTAAAACTCGCCGGAAATTTCATCAGTTCCTGGCGTTTTTGACAATGGTAACTGTTCAATAGCAGTGCTTGGAACTTGTTGGATAACTTGCTCTAGACAGGATTGATTGCGGGAAAAGAGTCGCGTTATTACAAGTAACAAAGCGTTTTACAACAGCAAATGAACAACCAGGTGTCACGAATGCGAATAGTCTAACGAGTGGGTCATCCAATGCTCCAACCCACTACAAAAGCTTGTTCTTGATCACCTATTAACTGTGGCGCATACCCATTTCAGGCATATTTCCTCATCGTTGTGAGCCACTGTATGAACAATTGGCACAAAATTCCTTGTGTTTAGCGGATACCCACGCTTCTCAGAAGAATGACAAAAAATAACATAGCGAATACCGGCCTACTGTATCCTAACATTTTCATTATCAATGCCGTAGTGGGTACCCACAGAGCATGCTTGCAGGAGTTACCCCATGAGTCTTTAAAAAAAGCTCTGAAAGGCCGCTCTTCTAGCTTTCGCTGCGACTGTGCTGTGCCTTCCGCGCAGGCCTGGCATTTTTCTTTTCGTGTTCACGCGCTTTGGTGTACTCTATATATACAGCTTCTATATGACGGTCTTTTTATCCAACGTTCTGAACATCATTTTACAATCCTGGGCAATGTGCATGAAGTGTAATGGCAAGAACCAAGCCGTCACGCACTATCGACAGTTCTCTTTGACCACCCCTTGAAGTGCCAACGGCGACTTGTTGCGCAGGGTATAGGGCGGGGGGTCTTCACGTGACGCATACTTCTCTTTTACTGGCACTGCCACTTGGTACATACATGAAGTGGTTGTGGGGTGTCTGCTGAAGAGAAACTGGTATTTCGAACAATGACGTAGAGTTTCAACGAACCGCTCTGTGTTTTCTGAACCCTACTTCGAAGTCATAAAAGGTGTAAAAGGACGCGCGCTACTAACCATTCCTTATGGAAGCCACACCTGTCAAAAATATTTCACGCATGACATCGGCATGCGGTGGCGGTAGGGAGTGAGAACGTGCGTGGTTCTTTAGGCGCAGAAGCGACATTTCCGACAAGCTCGCTTGGAATTTGACGGCACCATGACAGGAATTCTTATTTGTTATGCGCCTCTCTAGGATTCTGGTGATCCGCGAGAGCTAGGCATTGCGGCAGCGTGTAACGACAGCCGTCATCCTGTGCAATTTATTGCACACGGCCAGCAAAATAGGCGAAGTTAGCAAGACCGCTGTAGTAGTCAGCCGTTTTATTCGACGAACAAATAGCGAGAGTTATCCTTACAGGGGCCAGCTGCTGTCCTTTACTGCCCGGTAGTTGGGTGCAGCTTTAAGATTACCTTCAAGAGTGGCATGTGAAGTGCCGATCGGTTGATTGTGTTAATGTTAAGTTTGGTCTGTGAATGAAGGGCTAAGATTGATTGTTTACGCAACATCTTACCAGTATTTCCCGGCCTCTGGACCGAATTTGATGATTGAATATGGTGTTCTCCTGAAAAAAAAAAACAAATATAAATATTGATGGGAAGCCATGTATAAGCAATATATAAAAGCATGCCTCCTTATTATAAAATAATAAATGAACAGCCTTGATATGCAGTGCACCTGCCCAAGCGGTAGCATGTACGCCTAAAGGTAATAATTAGAATGCTGTTGTGAGGATCTTTATTGTTATTGCAGAAAACATGTACACAAACCATACTGTCGTCAAATATTTTCACTCTTCCTCTAGATCAGAGATATGAAAGACATCGCTCACGATATCGCCACTATCGTCAGCGCATCTTGCTTTTCAAAAAAAAAATCATGAATTGCTCAGTATTGCGAATACTACATGCCGCGCGCGGTTCTGTATCAAAATCTCTCTTGTAGAGGCAAAATGTTAGCTGTTCCAAGATCTGATTTGTTATATATGTCCACGATGACACACACGCCCATTTCTCTCTACGTTTTACGTCGCCAGCCTATTGCACGCCAACGCCTTACGCGAAACCGCTCTGCCTGAGAACAGTTAGATTCATACATAGGATCATCTGGTAAGCTTGAGCACGCAAACGCAAACAGTGGAGTACATTTTCGATCAGACGCCATCACTAGTAATAATGCTCGAATGGTCGCTACCGCATGCATAAATGCTGAGGCGCCTTGCCGCAGATCACTTATTCGACGACCGGCGCTCTGTGCACTAAATTTATTGTACAGCGTGCATTCTAGCTGTACTATAACCGGTTAGGCTAGTTGCTGGTTCATACTTGGAATGTAAGAACAATGCAAATATAGAGACAAGCACTGAAGAAGAGACGACAGAGGCGCGGAACCTGAAACTCAGATTGCGAGTTCAGCGCCTGTATCATCTGTTCTTTAGTCTCTGTCCCTATATTTCTGCGCTGCTTTACATTTCCAGCATTGTCGCTGTAATTGGAGTTTCTGTTTCGTGGCCACAAGTGCGGCCAACTAAGAGTTGCACCTTGAAGACATGACTCCTGCCTTCTTCAAAGTCACGACCAGGTGACATCCGGAGCGTTCATGTTCCAGGCGTCCCCATCAAGCCGTGAATTCAGCTCGAATTGTGACGAAGATACCAATATTTTCACGGACAGTTGAGCCAGCCGTCGACTGAAGCGACTACCCCCGCAGCAGGAACTCCTACCGGACAAGCCAAAAGCTACGGTGACGATGATGACAAACATGACGACGGCTGTTGTGTCCCCTGCAACGATCATGATGCAGCCACCAAAGAGAGCCACCAAGCGTCCACAGACCACCTAGTGAATATTTTGAAACCTGGCAAGAGACGTTCGAAAGGGTCTCGGCATCCAACAAGTGGGACGCTGAGGATAAGCTGCGCCATGTGTACTTTTACATGGAGGACGCAGAAAGAACCGGGATGCCACACGTCAAACATGAGAACTCTTTCGCGGTGCTTGCTCGAGGAATTTCGCGAGCGTCCTTCGAAAGGAAAGGGCCCCAGACTAGCGGGAGACATGGGTCCAACTACCGAAAAAAAAAAGCGTGTCTGTCTTCGCAGAGGAAATGACCCGACCTTTCCGCTATGCTGGCTATGCTATGTTCGACGACAAGGAAGTCAGCTTCCTCATGCGAGGAGTAAAGCAGGAGCTCTTCGCTGAGCTTATGCGGAACCCACCCTCGACAGTCGAAGAATTTGTCTCAGACGCAACGACGCTAAAATGGCTGACCCACCAGTACGACCACCGATGCATCCAAGACAGCACAGTTTTTCACGCCCTTGCTCCAACGACTTACGCCAAACCATCTGAGCCATCGTGCGAGAGGAGCTTAGGAAGCTCTCTTTTTCACAGCCAGATCTGACGTCGATTGTTGACACAGTGCGGGAGTATATACAACTTGTTCTCCCTCAGCCTGCACAGCCGCAGGCTATCAACTATGCTGCGGCTGTCCGACGCAGTAACGTAGCCGATACAAACCGGGACCACAAGTAAAAAGGGGTTTTATTCTTTCGGTGGTCGTCTTCGTAAATATATGAAGAGCTGTGTGCATGTGCCGTGCACATCCGCCCAAACGCAGTTCCGCAATCAGCGCGATACAGCACTCAATTTCCCTGAAGCATAGTGCTGCGCTTCCCTCTAAAAACGGTCCGGAGCTCTTCTTTTGCGAGTTAAACGTTTGGGTATAACCAACCGAGTATTCCACGCTGTAAACAAAAATATACCCAGCTGGGAGGAATTGGGCGTTGATGCTCCCGCTCTGCTCCGGTGACTTCACTCAAACTGGAATGTACCGGGGCTTATACATTTGTTTTCCACCATTTTCCTCCAGTGGTGATGGAAACCAGAGGAAAACAGGAACGATTCCCTGATTATTTTCCGGTAGTTGCTCCGCAATAGCTCCGGAGCATCGCTCAGCGGCTTTCATTGGCTGTTGGAGGAGCGATGTAGGAAGCCTTGCCATCAGGGCGGCCGTCGTTCCCCACAAACCACCACGGCGCAGACTAAGCCGGTGCAGTGAGGTTTGTGCGACGCATTTGGCCCCGTTCGAAAAAAGGAAATCGTTCTGTGCATCTTCTGGATATCACAAGCAACTACAAGCAGCAACAGCGGTCATCATCGATAGGAGGGAGTTGTGCGAACCGTAATCGTGTGATGGTTCCTGGCCGCGAACGACACATTCTGACTTCGCGAGTGTTGAGTGAACGGGTGCTAGCTGGTGTGTCGAAAAAATGGGGAGTGAGCTCTCCTTGACTTACCTGTGTTATTCTTGTCAGGTAGTGTTTAGATCGGATAATTTTGGGTTGATAAACCAAACATGTGATAAATATAGGCTAATTTTACAAGACGTCAGTGAAAACTCAGCGGAATTCCTATGGTGCGTTGTTTGGACTATGTGTTTTTTTCTTCTTAACAGTACTTTGGTAAAGCAAAACAGAGAACTGAGTGAGTTGGTACTGATTCATTATGGGGTGATTGTAGCGCAAAAAAGAACATGAGATAGAGAAAGTTGAAGGGACTCTGAAACACTTTTTCAAAAAAACAACGAGATTATAATGTCATGATACGTAATTTCATGCGGCAAACTCGAAAATCAGGTCCACAATTTGCATAAACCAACGCAAATAACTTTATTTTGCCGAAAACAAGCAGAAGGCGCCGCGGCCACCATCGCGTGTCTTGCCGCCGCTGGATTGCTCGAGGCTCCATGACTATCGGGAAGGTTAAAATAGCCGACTGCGCTCGCCGGCAGTCAATGCCGTGTTTATCTGTTGAGGCGCTGCACCGTGCTCCATACCGGGCTACAGTTACTAGGTGCATTTTCCTCATCTAACCGCTACCACCACCACTATCCGTTGAAATTGAGCAGTTGCTATAAGTATGGCGAGCTGTGAAAGTCGGACCGAGTTCGCTGTACATCCGTGCATGTTCGAGCCGGTCGCCACTATAAAAGCGACGACAGAAGTGGCACAGGTAGGCGAGTTCCAACCTGCCGCCTTTACCCAAGTCGGAAACATAGACTGGCACGTATAAAATGCATGCCAGTGCATAATTTCATTGTAGTAAACTGTTACAAATGATACGCTTAGCATTGTATATTCGATAATTCGCTCATCATGTAGATTCGATTGTAATTCGATAAGAAACAGCAGCATCAGCACTCGATTTTAGCCTATTGGCACGGTCCGCGATACGCGTGGGCAGCGTGCAGAAACATCAACTGTTCGTGGATTGCACAGCTCATTGTGCCGCGTTGCCAATGCAGTCACTATCGTATTTCGCACCGGGCAAGGCACACGCGGTGAATCAGTATGCTACCCCGAGAAAAAAAAAATAGTGCCAGACGAGTGCCGCTCTTGCCGTAGTGGTGATATATGCCCTGAAGTGCGCTGAAAATAGCGCAAAAATAGTTTGGCTTATATATTGCAATTCAGTTTTTTTAAACGGAATTGCAATTGCCTGGGCTGCTGACGTGCCCACGCGAACTCGTGTAGAAGATTGAAAGTGAATTATTTAATTCAATTATACATACGCTAATTCTGACACACAGGACAATCAATCTAGCGCTTGAAAATAAACGCAATCGATGCTACTGGCGTGAGCCGGTGCATGTTAGTTTTGCTCATACATATTTTTTTCAGTTTTTATGCAGTTTTCGGGCTCTTGCGTGTGTACTTTTTAAAGATTCTCAATTTATTTAGTTTGAGTGTTATCATGGCCAATGTATTCCTAAAGCTGGAGCTGGTCGTAGGTATATATATGGGGGACCAGCGTTGGATAGGTGGCGTGCCGAAAAATAGCACCCTGGATATATATATATATATATATATATATATATATATATATATATATATATATATATATATATATATATATATATATATATATATATATATATATAGTGCTTGTTATTCAACAATCTTTAAGTCGACGTGAAAAACTTCAACTTCAAGTAGCTACTGCTGATTGCGCAAGCCAAGTTTCTTCGCTGTCTGCGCAGATGAATGATGCAGAAAAACAGGTCCCATCGTAATAATCTGGTTTTCTTTGATACGCCAAAAGAATCTTGGCAAGAAAGCGAAGAACTAATCTTTGATCTTTGCAAGACATCCCTCCATGTAACTTTGATTCCGGTTCTATTGAGCGTGCGCACAGACTGGGCTCCTACAAACAAGGCAGAAATCGACGCATAATTGTTCAGTTTGGCAATCTCAAAGTAAAAAAAAAATTAAAGGATCTGTCTATGGTGTCAGCGAGGATTTTTCGCCTCAAACGCGCTTAGCCCGCAAACAACTAGTGTAGTTTGGTAAGCCTCGTAAACTAGACTTCAAGCTCTGATACGACGTCCTTTATTGTAATAACAAAACCTACATTTATGACCATACTGCGCAAAAGCTCGTTGAGCGTATATACTAGCGCCAGGTTACACAACGTAATGATCCAAGTAGCCCGTGCCGAACGCCCCTGTCATTCCTATACACAAATATCCGTAGCTTGATACCCAAGCGTGACTAGCTTTGTAGCCT